CAGCAAGATAGTCGGCCAAAAACCGGTTGAAAAGAGTTATTTACCTTGGTGGTGGTTGGCCAGAGATTGGAGGAGAAGCTTGCAGTGGAGAGGAAGAAAAAAGACAGAAAAAACAGAGGAAAATTGTGGAGAAATCGAAGGATGGGGGGGACGGGCGAACCGAAGGGAAGAAGGCTGCATGCAGCTTTATCCAGACCGATACCGGTCCGAAAAAAACTGTCAGTGGGACCCAGCGTCCAATCGATTCAGAGATATTCTCTAATGGATATATACAGACCGAAAACGGTCCGTATATATTTAGTTAAATAATATTTTATTCATATTTTTTGGTATTTAGTATTTATTTTTTTCAGAAATAATATTCGGACCGAAAACGGTCCGAATATTATTGGCGCATCTATACTGTGGACTCCCGCCAGAAATATTTTTTGGTATTTAATATTTATTTTTTTCAGAAATAATATTCGGACTGAAACCGGTCCGAATATTATTGGCGCGTCTACACTGTGGACTCCCGCCAGAAATATTTTTTGGTATTTAATATTTATTTTTTTCAGAAATAATATTCAGACCGAAACCGGTCCGAATATTATTGGCGCGTCTATACTGTGACGCCGCCAGAAATATACGGACCGATACCGGTCCGAATATGTTCATTGGTATATTCAGACCGATATTGGTTCGAATATTTAGTTTTTCGGACCGACAATATTTGGTCCGTATATGGTCGGTCCGTATACGTCATTTTTCTAGTAGTGCGTGGACAATAATGTGAGACCACTTTTGTGCTTTCCAAAATGACCCCAACAAAGGGCATGTTAAACTTTTTATTTTTTTTTGCCAAATATTAAGTATTAAATTATTTGATTAATTTTGTGAAGTTGTTACAGGTAAGTTGTAAAATGAAACAGTGCCTTGCATTAAGACCATTGAGATTTCGGATTTCTAGGGATATTATTAATTAATGCAATTGTATCATATTATAAGGGCATGTAAAGCCATAAGACAATTCATTTGGTTTAAGTATCGGTTTGTCTTTTCAATTGATACTTACATTGTCTTCAAATATATATATATATTTTAATCTTTTAACCCTTAAATCCATAACTTGGGTACCACATTGGTCTTTTCATTTATGGTTAGCTCATGCAGCAATTTGACTTGATAGAAAATTTATGGTTATTAAATTGTTTAATGACATAGAATTTACATGTGTGATTTTTTATTGAGTTTGACAATAAACAATATACGTTATCATTTTCTGCAAACTTTTCTTCCCACTTTCTGTTCTTATGTGTGGGCTGCACACTTGTGTTTAATAGAATAAATATTTTTAAATTTATAAAATATTTTACCCCTACTTACTATAATCAATTTTTTTCTTTTTAATTCATGAATTATGGATATCTTACACAAACATAATTAACTTTTTGTTTAATTTTAGTTTATATTAAAAAATAAACTTCTCCTCTAATTTTAATTAAACAAACTAAACAAAAATTAATGATTTTCATGAAAAAAAAATTGAAATGAAATTGTTTTTCCATTTGAAGAACCTAGACAAGAGTATGGGTTCTCCTTCAAGTCTAGTGACCATTAACCCACTCGAAGCATTTTGATGAAAACCCCAAAGAGAATAATGAGACTCACAGTATGACAAGGGATTTTGAAACTCTAGAAAAGCTAAATCAATTTTATAATAGGACCTTCACCCATTGTTTATGTCGCAACAAGAACCAAAGGTAAAAACCTTGACCCGTTGTCTATGACGCAACAAGAACCATAGGTATAAAATTGGTTGACGCCACACCCTCGAATAGTTAAAATAAAAATGATAAGTCAGGTTAGAACACTACAAGAATAATCTTGATAAGTTCTGTAAAGTTCTAAAATGAACCAAAGAGAAAAGTCTTAAAATACTCAGATTCAATAGCTCCCTCAATTAAGGTTACAAGCCTTTAAATAGGGAAAACTAATCCTAATCAAAGTAGGAAACTAACACCCTAAGTCCTAAACCTCATAACCATGAATTGGGCTTCAAATAAATGAATGTTTAGCCCAAGAATAATACAAAAAAGCATGAAAATCACTTAAAATAGCCTAAAATATCATGAAATATCAATTTGCTACAAATTGCAGTGGACTTGTGTAATTTTGACTCAAACTGTGTAATTTAACATGAATGACCTTAATTAAGCTTCTTTTGGACCTGAATGATGTTTACCATGCCATGACAATCTACCAAGCTTTGATTTACTTGTTGCATGTTGTTTTCATCCCAGATTTGCTCACTAAGGTCATTTAAAGCTTCTTGCATCTTCTTAACTCTAGCTCTTGTGACTAGACTTCCTCGAATGTGTAATGGATCCTTTGACATGGCAGATGTGCTATCGTCTTGATTACAATCATTCCCTTTCTCCTCAAAAGGATTTGTCCTCAAATCGTCACTTACATCAAAAAGGGAAAGATCAAAAACATTAGAAGTAACACTAACATTATACTCACCAGAAGCTCCAACTTGTATGCATTGTCATTAATCCTCGCAATCACTTGAAATGGTCCATCGCCTCTTGGTTTCAGCTTAGAATGCCTTTGTGAAGGGACTTGCTCCTTGTGCATATGCACCCAAACCCAATCTCTAGGTTCAAACACAACTTTCTTGCGCCCTTTGTTGGCTTGGTTTGCATATTGCTCAGTTCGTCATTTTATGTTATGTCCTACTCTCTCATGCAGTTGCTTAACTACTTCAGCTTTCTTTTTTTCCCTTCAAACTAGCTCATTCATGAATAGGTAAAGGCAATAAATCCAAAGGAGTGAGTGGATTAAAACCATACACAACTTCAAATGGTGAACAACTAGTTGTTAAATGGACGCTCCGATTATAGGCAAATTTAATGTATGGCAAACACTCTTCCCAATTTTTCAAGTTCTTCTAAATAATAAAACATAACAAGGCTCACAACATCCTATTAATCACTTCTGTTTGTCCATCAGTTTGTGGATGATAAGTAGTAAAAAATAATAACTTAGTTCCCAATTTTCCCCATAAGGTCTTCCAAATGTAACTCAAGAACTTAACATCGCGATTAGAAACAATAGTCCTTGGAATGCCATGTAAACGAACAACCTTTTTGAAGAACAGATGATCAATATTGGTTGCATCGTCAATTTTATGGCATAGAATGAAGTTTGCCATCTTCGAGAACCTGTCAACAAGAAGAAAAATAGAATCACGACCTTTTTTCGACCTTGGTAAGCCTAGAACAGAATTTGTAGATATATCAACCCAAGGTTCAATAGGTATAGGTAAGGAAGTACAAACCATGTGGTAAAACTCTAGATTTTGCTTGTTTACATGTTACGCATCTTTTGTGCATCTTTTACACATCCTTTCAACATTGCGTTTCATATGTGGCTAAAAAAAGTGATTGTTCAGAATATCTAAAGTTTTCCTAACTCTAAAATGTCCCATTAAGTCACCTGTATGTGATTCCCTTATTAACAATTCTCTTAATGAACAGTTAAGCACACATAATCAATTTTTTGTAAATAAGAACTCATCGTGCCTATAAAACTTATTAAAAGCTGCCTTCTCACATGCATTAACACGTAAGTAAACTTTGGATCGTTAGCATATAATTCTTTAATGTGCTCAAATCCTAATATTTTGCACTTAGAGTAGAGATAAGTGTGTACCTACGAGATAATGTATCAGCTACAATGTTTTCTCTTCCTTACTTGTACTTTATCAGATAGGGAAATGTCTCAAGGAATTCCACCCACTTAGCATGTTGTCTATTCAACTTACCTTGTCCTTTCAGGTGCTTCAATAATTCATGATTAATGTGTATCACGAACTCCTTAGGCCAAAGATAATGCTGCCATGTTTCTAAGGCCCTTACCAATGCGTTCATCTCTTTGTCACAAGTAGAATAGTTAAGTGTTGCACTAGTTAATTTTTCATTGAAAGATGCAATAGGTCACCACTATTGCATCAAAACAATGTTAATGCCATTACATGATGCATTACATTCAATTTCAAAAGTTTTAGTAAAATTAGGTAAAGCAAGTAACGGTGCAAAAATTAAATTCTCCTTAATCAAATTGAAAGCGTTCTCCTATTCACTTTTCCACTTAAATTCGACACTTTTTTTCACGATATCAGTCAACGAAGCTACAATTGTGTTGAAGTCCTTGATGAATCTCCGATAGAAACTTGTCAAACCATGAAAACTCCGCACCTTAGAAATATTCTTAGGTGTTGGTCATTCTTTACTAGCCATAACCTTTTCTTCGTCTATTGTAATTCCATCAGTTGAAACAACAAATCCTAAAAAGACAATATGATTTGTGCAAAAGGAACACTTTTTAAGATTAGTAAACAACTTTTCTTTCCTCAAAACCTCAAGTACCATTTGCAAATGCTCAATATGATTAGTTAAACTCTTATTATATATTAGAATGTCATCAAAATAAACAACCACAAATTGGCCAATGAAAGCATGCAAAACATGATTCATTAATCGCATGAATGTACTAGGTGCATTGGTTAATCCAAATGGCATAACTAACCGCTCATATAAACCATGTTTCGTTTTAAAGGTTGTTTTCCATTAATCTCCTTCCATCATCCTAATCTGATGATACCCATTCTTTAAATCAATTTTAGTGAATATGCAAGAATCAAGCAATTCATCTAACATGTCATTTAATCTAGGAATAGGGTGATGATACTTTACAGTGATTTTGTTGATTGTGTGACGTTCAATGCACATACACCAAATCCCATCCTTCTTAGGCACAAGTAGCATTGGCATTGCACATAGACTCATGCTTTCTCTCACATGTCCCTTCTTCATGAGTTCTTCAACCTGCTTTTGAAGTTCTTTTGTCTTATTGGGGTTGCTTCGATATGCTAGTCAGTTTGGAATTGTTGCACTTAGAATGAAGTGAATCTGATGCTCGATTCCTCTTATTAGTGGTAAACCATTAAAAATGTCCTTTGGAAACATGTCCTTAAAGTGCTGCAAAAGAGATTTAACAACATAGGCAAAGAATTGTTAAGTTAGTTAGCATTGAAATAAGCATCTTTGTACAAAAGCACAAACATAGGCAATTTTGCAAGAAACGCAACCTTGACATCACTTTCTTTTCTGTAAACACTCACTGATTTTCTCTCTTTGTTTTCAACACTCTCAATCTTTTTTGCCTTTTTAGACTCTTTTTCTGTTATTTTCTCTTTGTTTTTCATACCTTCAAGCTCACTCTCTTTTCTTAGCTCACTCTTTTTTTTTTTTTTTAACTCTCAGTTGATCCTCATAAACCTGCCTTGGACTCAATGGTGCAAGAGTAATTGTTTTCCCCTCCATGATGAACGAATAATGATTTTTGAAGCCATCATGTATTACACTCCTATCATATTGCCATGGTCTCCCCAAAAGTAAATGTCTAGGATGCATAGGAACCACATCGTAAAGTACCTCATCCTTATATTGTCCAATAGAGAATGAAATCAGAACTTGCTTATTTACCCTGATTTCTCTACAATCGTTTAACCATTGTAGCTAATTTGGCTATGGATGCTTCGTTAGAGTTAAATTAAGCTTTTCAACCAAAACAGTGTTAGCTACATTAGTACAACTACCACAATCAATAATCACACTACATACCTTATTTTTTATATGACATCTTGTGTGAAATATCTTGTCGCGTTGCATTCATCTTCTTTGGCTTGCACATTCAAAGCTCACTTGGTGATGAACAGTTCTCCATCAATGGCATATTCCATGCCATCATCAACATCTTGTAATGGTGGCATAGAGTCATCATCTGATTCACCCTTAGTTTCAACTTCTCCATCCTTTCTCAAGATCATCGTGCTTATTTGGACATTGCAATGCAACATGCCTTCTTCCTAAGCATCGAAAACACTTGATGTCTCGATTTCTGCTTTATGTATTGTCAGTTTTACTCTTTTCATTGCTATTAACTTCTTTCGACTTAGATGCTATTGTTTTAGGCTTAAAAGTAGACTTTTCTTATTTTTTACTCCAATTCAGTTTCCAAGAAGATGAGGAACCTGAATTTTGCCTAGTTTTGGTGGTGGCTTCTTTACACTTGAGTTGCCATTCTACTTTCATTGCCATATGCACCATATCTTCTAATTCCACATAATGCTGCAACTCCACCACATTAGCTATATCATGATTTAAACCATGTAGAAATCATACCATAGTTGCTTCTTTGTCCTCTTACACATTTGCTCTAACCATTGCAATTTCCATCTTCTTGTGATAATCCTTAACACTTTTGGACCCTTAAGTAAGGCCCTGCAATGTTAATAGAGATCGCGATAGTAATGACTAGGAACAAATCATTTTCTCAACACAGCTTTCATCTCTTCCTAAGTGTCAATAGGACGCTCTTGATTTCTATGTCGACTAAGCACAAGTTGATCCCACCACACAACAACGTAATCAGTAAATTCCATCGTTGCTAGTTTCACCTTTTTCTCCTCAAAATAGTTATGGCAATCAAACACCAATTCCATCTTTTTTTCCCATTCCAAATACGCATCTGGATCATTTTTGCCTTGAAACAGAGGAATCTTCATCTTGATGCCACCTAACTCATGATCTTTCCAATCTCCCTACCTTGCAAATTTTGCTCTCTTTGTTTAAACCTACCTCTTTGGCCCCTTCTACCTCTCATAATTCTATCCATGTTGAAATTTGAGTTCTAGGCATTGTTGTTGAATGCATCTTCATAATCGTCATCCAAATCATCATTAACATCATTCCTATGCAAATTCGAACTTCTATTCTGTATTTGGTATAACTTGGCTATGGCTACATCTTGCTTCTCCATTTTGTCTTTAATCTCACCAAACATGATGTTCAGCCTCTAAAATTGTTGTTGCATTGCTTTGAGCATGAAGGATTCATCCACACGATGTTTTCAAGTGGTTGATTTATAATCAGTGTTTGACATGATTGAAATCTACAAGGAATGTTAGAAATAGAAATAAAAGGACCTCACAACACTCCCTTACCTGTTTCACTCCACTCTCTTGCCAAATGGCACTCAACGCTTGTGTTTTGCACACTATAGAACTTGGCTTTTTTCTCCAGTGTTGCTCACACCTCTTGCCTTTTTCTCTCATTTAACTTTCCTTTTTTAGGTCGTTATTGAACTAAACAAACTCAATTCAAGTTATTTTGTAGTAATCTCACTCCAACGAATCTGCAACAAGAGTTAAAAGAAACAGAAAGACACGAAGGAACGAATAAGAAAAGCAATAAAAAGACCAACCCAAACAAATTAAAACAAAAAAATGGAATTTCGGTTGAAACACAATGCAAGAAGGACATATCAATTTAACATTTCCTAGTAGGATTGACTTGACTATTCCTTAATGGGGTAGGATTCCTAACATAGGAATGAATAAACAAAATTGCTAACTCCTTGTTTAAACAGAATTCCAAGAGAATTTTCAATTCCTTGTTGTAGTAGGATTCCTTCTTCTTTAAGGCTTTTGCTAAAGATTTCTTCTCTATATAAGGAATTCAACCATAGTCTTATGTTGCTTATTTCTCTCTCTCCTTTTTTCTTTGTTTTTGTTTTTTTTTTTGCATCATCATTTTTTTTTTTGTTCTTTAGGACTTCTCCTTTTAAAAAAAAAATTCGTGATTTTTTCTCTATTTTATTTTAGAACTAGCAACACATTCAAAAAAACAGACAAGAAAGAGAAGAATGACATTAAAATATATATATATTTGTTTTGTTTTGATGAAAAAAAACTGAAAATTAAAGATACGTAAACCTGATTTAGAATCTAATGCTCTGATACCAAGATGATGAGAACCCCAAAGAGAATAATAAGACTCACAGCACGACAAGGGATTTTGAAACTTCAGGAAAACCAAATCAAGTTTATAATAAAACCTTGACTCGTTGTTTATGTCGCAACAAGAACCAAAGGCAAAAACCTTGACCTGTTGTCTATGACACAACAAGAACCAAAGGTATAAAGTTGGTTGACGCCACACTTTCGAATGGTTAAGAACGAGAATGATAAATCAGGTTAGAACGCCACAAGAATAATCTTGATAAGTTTTGTAAAGTTCTAAAATGAACCAAAGAGAAAAGTCTCTCAAAATACTCAGATTCAATAGTTTCCTCAATTAGGATTATAAGTCCTTTAAATAGGGAAACCTAATCCTAATCAAAGTAGGAAACTAATACCTTAAGTCCTAAACCTAATAACCACGAATTGAGTTTCAAATAAATGAATGTTCAGTCCAAAAATAATACAAAAGATGTGAAAATCACTCAAAATAACCTAAAATAATATGAAATATCAGTTTGTTGCAAATTGCGACAGAATTGTGCAATTTTGACGCAAACTGTGTAATTCAGCATGAATGACCTTAGTTAAGCTTCCTTTGGAACTGAATGATGTTTACTATGCTATGATAATCATCCAAGTTTCGATTTACTTGTTGCATGTTGTTTTCAACCCAGATCTGCTCAATAAAATCATTTAAAACTTCTCGCATCTTCTTAATTGTAGCTCTTGTGACAGGATCTCCTCGAATATGTAATGGATCCTTTGACATGGTGCATGTGCTATTGTCTTGACTCCCATCACATTTGATGTACCTTTAATTTTCTAATGTACATCACATTTCAACAAATGAATTCTAATAACAACTAATCTAGAAATTTAGAAATTAAAACCATTCACATTAAATTTTTATTCATGAATTCATTATTACAACCACGGCACTTTAGTATCTCCCCAACTATGGCACCTCATTGTAAACACTATCCTTCTTTATGAGATTTGAACTTTGCACTTTTTTTATTGAAAAAACTCATATCAAAAGATTTTCATAAATTGCTAAGAAAACCAAATTTAACAGTCATAAAATCAATTGAAAACCTTAAATATACATCTCTAAAAGGTCATCAATTATATTGCAAAGAAAAAAAACTCATCAATTATTTGTTTTTAAAAGCCATTTTAATGTTTCCATCTTCGAGTTTTCCCCATTAAAGTAGGATTCCATGCAGTGAATCCTTTTTTCCCTTTCAAGCCGGCCAAAAAGATCTTTTCCCAGATGTTGGAGAAAGACTAGAAAAAGATGAAATGAAAGGCAAAAGGGAGCATCATCTGGTGAGGGAGAGTAGATAGGAGAGGAAACTACTGGGGAAAAAGGGAAGAAAAGAGAATCGAAACCCAAAAAGAAAAAAAATGGAGGGAGAGAGTTGAGAGGAAAAAACTTAGGGCAAACAAGAAAAAGAAACATTTAAGGAGAGTGAGTGACCAAAGGGAAAAAAAGAATATTGGATCGAGTTTGAGTTTAGAGAGATAAGAAGAATAAAGAGAGAAACTAAGAGAGGAAAAGAGAAAAATAATGGGAGTCCAAGAAAGAAGAGGACGTCTGAGGAAGAAGAACAAATAGGGCAATTGTGTGATTTTGAAAATTTTAATTTACAAAAATATTTTAATTTAATGGGCCGAATTATTGCGTCTAGCTCCGTAATT